AACCAAAAACAAACCCACGGGCCACCAGGTTGACTCTCAAAGTGATACTTTAGGACAGAGTAGAGCAGCCCCACAGGGTCTCCAGGGCTGTCAGTCTTCACAGAAGCAAAGCCTAAGCCACACCCACTGCCATGGAGTCCATTCCGACTCACAGCGCCCCTGGAAGACAGAGTGGAACTGCCCGCGGGTTCGCCAAGGCTGTTGCTCTCATGGAAGCAGACTGCCTCATCTTTCTCCCATGGAGCAACGGGTGGGTTCAAACTGCTGACCTTTTGGTTAGCAACTGAGTGCTTTAACCAGTACACTACCAGAGCTCCTTCAACACGCACACACATGGGCAGGTGCACACAAGTGGACATCAAATGACACTCAACTTTGCTCAACACCAAAAAACTTTCCACAGGATTGTACAGTGTGGAGCTGTCGCTCTGAAAACCTTAGGAGAGAAAATGCTTTTGCAGGTCACATAGGGAGACACAGGAGAGCAACGGGCCAGCACAGGCTGAGCAGGTGGGTGGCGTGCCCCCAGCAAGGTGTCTGCAGTCCCGCGAGCACCTCAGTCCACGTCAGCCTGGCGCTCCCTTCACCATCTTGATCTCCAGTGGGCAGTTCTACACCCAGAGCCGGTCCAGGTTTTGTAGGACCTTGATGCTTCTGTGGGGGGTGGGCCGCAGAGGGCTTCTCGTCCACAAATAGAACAGCCTCCACGCTCGGCACCGAGAATGGAGGAGCTGCGTGTGAGTGTCCTGCGAGCAGCCACTCTGCTCGACCGTGAGTGGGAAACGCTGCGGGTCCACGGGAAGAAGGCAAGCGGTAGGGTGGGGGAGGGGACTGAGAGCCTTATTGGTGTCTTCTGTCCTCACCACGGACACCTCAGCCATCCACCACCCTCCCCAGGGAACACAGGGCACCTCACTTCTGAGCGGACCCTGGGGTCTTCTGCACATTGCAGGCCCTTTCTCTCCCTCACCAACATTCCAGTGCCCTGTCGGCCCCTTGCCTCCTGTCCATGCTGCTCTACCTGGGCTCCCTTCTCGCCTGCTTCTTTGTCCCCCGTGGACTCTGGCGCCCCTTCCACACCCTCCAGCCTTAGGAGGGTTACCTGGCTGCCGCACAAGACAGCTGCCTATTCCCCCAAGAAAGTCCAGGTACCTGCAGGAGGAGAGGGGCTGGGGGTGGGGGTGACGACTGTCCTCCCTCCTGGTCCACCCTAGCACTGCAACCTGCCACTCTAATGTTCTCCAAAGATTCATGCAGCCCCCTCTCATAGACCAAGTGTCTGAGGGGGCCCACAGATGCTCGGTGCTACTACAACCTGGCATCATGGCCACTCATCCAGCAACTGGCTGCCTGCCTCTCAGCCCTCCAAAGCAGATGCTGGATCCGGCCCAAGGGGACCCCGAGAGCCGCCTGGGTTTCCCAGGGGAGCCATGGGGCAGGGAAGACCAGAGTGAGGGGCATAGAGGGTGCGGGGAGGTGCTGGCGCAGTGATGGACCCAAGGACGGGCCAGAAGGTGCCTGGGCAAGACTCGGACCACCTTCAACAAATGAGCCCTTCAGTGCCCAGCTGGCTAAGCTGCCCTGTCCGTTACACCCAGCCCTGCACTGACCCTGCAGTTCCATAAACACACCTGCCCAGGGCCTCGGCCCCAGGGGCTTCAGGCAAACGCCCGTCACTTCCCACTGCCTGGCCCACCTTCCCTTCCCCCTTGGATGTCCCCCTGCCCTTACTCTCCACTAGTCACTCTGCTTCCTGTGTGTCTGAAACAACTGGGGCTGACACTCCTGGTGTCCCAAGTGCAGCCAGGTGAGGAAACTCTCAGGCAGGTGGGTCTCGCTCCTCACCCGCCGGAGATCTTCCAGCCCAGAGCAGGGCGAACACGCAGCCCTCTGTCAGCCCTGCTCTCCCCTGCGCCTCCCAAGTTTCTCAGCCAAGGGTCTCTGAAGCCACGTCTGGTTCCCATCCTTACATCACCCACCTCATCACTCCAACATCCTTTACCCAGGCCTGGCGCCCTCCACACAGCTGAGCCCAGCAGCTGTTCATCAAGTCCCCTCACCAAGTCACACGTTATCTTCCTCTTCAAGTTGTCATCACGAGGGTTTCCAGAACCCCCCATCTGTCTCCAGGCCCAGTGCCCCCTAGGCCCCTCATTCCTCCATGGCCCTGCTGGTCCCCCTTCTCCTGACCTCAGACACTGCAAGGCTCACCTGAGACCCCTACCTTGCCCAGCCTCAGTCCCCTGTAGCCATCTGCTCGCCTGCTCTCCCAGAGTTACACCAGCACAGTCCTCGTCCCAACTCACACAGGAGGCCAGACAGCCCAGCTCTGCCCTGCTCCCCCTCCCTGTCCCTTCAGCCCCTCAAGCCCCTTCATTTCTCACCTGCCATCTAGCAAGGAACCTGCTGGGTCTGTTTCATAGACACCCTGGACCTCCCTCTCCTCCCCTGGACCTCAGCCCAGACCTCTCCTGAACCACTGCCTGGACCCCTGCCCAGACAGCTGCCCAGGTGGCCACACCCTTCTCTGGTCACTGGGATCCTGTCCAGCCCCACTCTGCCCTTATTCCCCTGGGATTCTCAGCTCTCCCACCAGAGTGAGCTTGTGAAGTGGTGGACACACTGCCCCAGGGCTAGACCCCCAGCCCTTTTCCTCCTGGGGCTAAGGCCCCACCATGTCACCAGCCCCTCCTGTCTCCTGGGACCTGCCCTCCACTGCTCTGCCGACTGCCCTGGCCCAGCTGCCCCCACCACAGAGTCTGCACTGCCCTCACTGCAGAGTGCATGGGGCTAGTGTCACCCTCCACACCTCAAGTCCAACAGTCTTAGTGAGGGGCCCATGCACAAGGGCCTAGGGTTGCTCCAGGTGCTGGAGGGGACGCCAGGACCTCCCTGGGGCCTAGCGACCCCGGCAGGCCATCTGAGCAGGACTACACTGGGCCAGGCCAGGCACTGGGCAGGAGGGGGCTCTTCTCCCAGACCAGCGGGGTGTGGTGGCCACACCCAGAGGAAAGGGGGGGCCCTTTAGGCCCTGTGTGGAGTCTGCAAACTCCCCTGGCAGGGGAGTTCTAGGGCAGGGGCCTCACTGGGCCACTGGGCCCATGCTGACCCGGGTTGCAAAGGTTGGTCCACGTGTGGGATGATGCCGGTAGAGGGCTCTGTGGGGGGCCCAGGGGCTGCATGGCCAGATGCAGGATGCCCTGGGGAGAGCTCCCGGCCTGCTGCCAGGCGCCTACAGGCAGCCGCTGCACCCCGCGCCCTCTGTGTCCTCGCCTCCCCTCTACCTGCCCCCTCCCTCCTCCCCTCCACCTCTCTCTGCCCTGCTCTCCTGCTCAGCTCCATTTCAGGGGGGCCTGTGCCCCTCGCCCAGCTCCACACTCATCTTAGCCTCCCTCGGGTCAGACTGCCCCCCACACTGCTGGCCTTGGGTGGGGGCAACAGGCGACTGGGCAGGCGAGGGACCCCCAGGACCACTCGTGAGCCCCAGGACGGCCCCCAGAGCCACACCCCCCTGTGACCCCTTCCTAGCTCCAAAGCAGACAGTAAACGATGTGTGTGCACCCTCACGTGGGCTCAGGTCTTTCTGGGGTGACTGGAAACTCCCTGGTCTGGGGTCTCCACCCCACCTCACAGCACCTGGGGCTCGGCCTTGGAGGGATGGGGAGCTGGTGGCCTTCCATCATTCCTCTTGGCCACGGAGTCTCCACAGCCAGTGAGGCCTAGTATAGCTGCCCGTGGCCCCGTGACACTGGGTCCGGACCCGAGTCCTGCCTGGACCGCACAGAGGGAAGCCAAGAGCTGAGGTGAGCCACCGCCCTTTCACTAGGCCCCTGGGGCGTGGACAAGGGGTGGACACTGGGCCTGCCAGGCTCAACATGTGCAAGGAGGGCCCTGAGGCCAACTGCAAAGTCCCAGGGGCCGGCGAGCCTACGCCTGTCCATCAAGCACAGGTGACTGCACCCTTTGAGCAGCAAAGTGGCGGAGATTTGCTTGTACTTCGCACCAGCGTCATGACCTGGGGGGCCCAGACCCCTCCTTCCCCAGCACCGGGACCTGTGGAGCAGCTGGAACAGACCTGTGGCAGCCAAGCTGCAGACCGAAGGCCTGGTCTGGGCCCAGGTCCCGCCCCTCGCTGCCTGCCTGAACCTGCTTCCTCCTCTGGGAATCGAGGCTCAGTGCCCAGGTCCTCTCCTGGGACCCTGTGCCCCTGGCCACCACCCGAAGGAGCAGGAGTGGGGATGCAGCACGTCTGTGTGGCCCAGGGGGAGGGCCACCGCCGTGGCTCCGGGCTGCAGATACCCTCCTGGGGACAGGACAGGGCTGAGGGACGGGTGTCCTTCTCTCCACCCATCCTCAAGAATTGGGACCGGCTCCTGGGCCACCTGCAGTTCCCTGGCTGAGTCCTCACCCAGAGCGGGGCACGGGGCTCCGAGGTGGGCATGTGCAGGGCAGGGGGCCACCCCAGAACGAGACGTCTGGGGCACCGTCCGGGCTGCAGGTAGAGTCAGCCTGCGGTGGGGCAGGGAGGGCGGATGGCAGTCCCCTCTGCCCTTGCTCACCTGGAGGGTGCCTGGGGTGGGGGCAGTGTGGAGGACACAGGGACCCACAGCAATGGCCACACCATATGTCTAGGGCTGGACAGAAATGAGTCACCCGGCACGACTGCCCCTGCTCTGACTACAGCCCCCACACCCTGCTGACAGCTTAAGGCTGCTCTGGGGAGACCACAAGGCTGACTGAGAGCCGCTGCACTTGCCCATGGACATGCTTGCCAGCAGACCCCAGGTGGGGGGTCGCACAGTCTCTGCATCCGGAAGACCCCTCTCCCTCACGCCAGCCCCTCGCAGCCCCCACCCTGGGCACGGCCCAGCATGCAGTGACCAGCACAGCGCTTGCACCCGCGTGTTCCAGAGCTCCATGTTCAACAGGGCTGGGAGGACTCAGCCAGGCTGTCTGGGAGAGCTGGGCGGCCGGGCCGGTCCAGTCGCAGCGGCTGGACTTTACGTGGGCGGGTCCTCGGGCACTGGAAGGGCAGAAGAAGCAGGCAGGGCTCGCGGGGGGGCCCAACACACGGCCGCTCTAGAACCTACCCTGGGGAGCCAGCCCTCTTCAGAAGCCCCAAGGACAGGTGTCCGGGAAGGCCAGCCCTGGCTCTGCAGGGCTGTCTCCACGGCCCGGACATGGGGAGGCTGTGGGGGCTCGGCAGCAGAGTTCCCGCTCCCCATCCTGGAGACCCGGGTTCACGCCTCACTGGTCGCCTCATATGCGGCCACCCCACCCCCTTCAGTGGACACACCTATGGCTGTGATGCTCAACAGGTGTCAGCAGATCTTGCAGGCTAAGACCAGGAAGAAAGGCCTGGTGACTGCTGGGAATCAGCAGTGAGGACCCCGTGGGCCCCAACGGCCCGACGCCTGGGGCTGGCGCAGGCCAGGCAGCAGTGCTCACTGGGCACAGGGCTGCTGCGCGTCAGGGCCCACCACGGCGAGGACAAGCCTTAACCACGGGCAGCGCCAGCTGGGGCGACACCCAAGTCGGGGGGCCCCCTGCCTCCTCTCTGCTCGAGGATCGGCAGCCTCCGATCTGCTCGGAGAGTCAGTGGAGAGCACTGTGGAGAGGAGGAAGCCACAGCCTCGGGGACCCGCCAGGGGTCTGGCTGACCTCCACCTGGTGACATGTCACACGGACGGTGCTGGACACAAAGCTGGGTACCGAGTGGGCACTCAGTGAGGGGCTCGCCCTCTGCATCCCCTCCTCCTTCCTTCCCGACACTGCCGCAGCCACCGTGGCGGTGGTGAGCCGCCCCAGGCTCTGGTGCACTCAGAAGTCCCCAAGGAACTGGATGTGCCCGGTGAGACAGAAAGGGGTGAGAATAGCAGAATGGCAGTATGACCACAACCAGACACTGAGGCGTGTTTAGACATCCACCGAGGTACAGCTGTGGAATCGGAGACAGACGGACAGGACAGGACAAAGCCCAGTGGAAGTGAAGTGTTAAGAGTGAAACCCCAGGGTGAGCAGTTGAAAACATGAATCTAACCTTTGATTGGAGGGGCCATTTCTGCCCACGACACCAAAAGCAGACCATGAATGGAAACATGATTAAGTGAAGCTACACTCAGAGTTTTGGAACTCCCACCTAGGAGAACAGTGAGCAAAACGGAAGGGCTTCTGAAGGAACAGTACACAGCACATCCTGTGTAAGAGCATCCGCAAGTCAGCAAAACACCTAAAAGCGCCAGGTGTCTACAGGCAGCTCCCCAAAGAATCACCAACGTAAGAGCATAAAGACAGTGCTTTACCGTCACCAAAGACACGCGGTCAGGCCAGGAAGGCTTCCCTCCTTTGGCTGTTGTTCGGTGCCATCGAGTCGGCTCTGACTCATAGACCCCGCGTACAGCAGAACGAAACACTGCCCCGTCCAGTGGGGTGAGACCATGCAAATAAGGTGTATGGAGCCCTAACAACGGTATTGGTCAGCTTTGCCATTCTGTTGGTGGTGGTGGGTGCCCTCGACTCGGCCCTGACTCATAGTGACCACATGGATAACAGAATGAAATACCACCCGGTCCTGTGCCAGCCCCACAGTCCTGGCTGTACCTGAGCCCATCGCTGCAGCCACTGCGTCAACCCATCTCCTTGAGGGCCTTCCCCTTTTTCATTGACCCTCCACTTTACCAAGCATGATACCCTTCTCCAGGGAATGGTCCCTTCTGACAATATGGCCAAAGCAGGTGAGACGAAGTCTGGCCATTGTCACTTCCAGGGAGAATTCCGGCTGTACTTCCAGGACAGATTTGTTAGTTCTTCTGGCAGTCCATGGTCATTTCACTATTCTTCACCAACAATACAACCCAAAAGCATCAACTCTTCTTCAGACTTCCTTATTCATCGTCCAGCTCTCACATACATATGAGGCAATTAAAAATACCATGGCTTGCATTAGGCGCACCTTAGTCTTCAAAGAGACATCTTTGCTCTTCAGCACTTCAAAGAAGTCCTTTGCAGATTTGCCCAGTGCAGTGTGATGTCTGATTTCTCAACTGCTGCTTCCAAGGATATTGACTGTGGATCCAACTAATATGAAATCTTTGACTACGTCAATCTTTTCTCCATTTATCATGATGCTGCTTATTCAGCTGCATTGAAGGAGTTGGTGAAAAACAAGGCTCCAGGAATTGACAGAATAATACCCATTGGGATGTTTCAACAAACGGATGTCACACTGGAGATGCTCACTCATCTGTGCCAGGAGATTTGGAAGACAGCTACCTGGTCAAGTGACTGGAAAAGATCCGTATTTGGACCCATTCCAAAGAAAGGTGATCCCACAGAATGTGGAAATTATCAAAAATATCATTATCTTGCTGAAGATAATAAAAAAAAAATGGTTGCAGCAGTATATTGTCAGGGAATTTCCAGAAATTCAAGCTGCATTCAGAATAGGATGTAGAATGACAGATATCATTGCTGATGTCAGATGGATCTTGGTTGGATGCAAAGAATACCAGAAAGATGTTTTCTTGACTATGCAAAAGCATTCAATTGTGTGGATCATAAAAAATTATGGATAACATTGAGACGAATGGGAATACCAGAGCACTCAATTGTGCTCATGAGGAATCTGTGCAATGACCAGCAGGCTGATGTTCAAACAGAACAAGGGGACACTGCATGTTTAAAATCAGGAAAGGTGTCATCGGGGTTGTATCCTTTCCCCACACTTATTCAATCTGTATGCTGACCAAATAATCCGAGAAGCTGGACTACATGAAGAAGACCATGGCATCAGGATTGGAGGAAGACTCATTAACAACCTGTGATATGCAAACAACACAACTTTGCTTGCTGAAAGTGATTATGACTTGAAACACTTACTGATGAAGACTGAAGACTACACTCTGCAGAATGAATTACACCTCAATATAAAGAAAACAAAAATCCTCACACCTGGGCCAATAAGCAGTGTCATGATAAATGGAGAAAAGATTGAGGTTGTCAGGGATTTCATATTACTTGGATCCACAGTCAACACCCATGGAAGCAGCAGTCGAGACATCAGACATCGTATTGCACTGGGCAAATCTGCTGCAAAAGGCTTCTTTGAAGTGTCAAAGAGCAAAGATGTCTCTTTGAAGACTAAGGTGTACCTGACACAAACCATGGTATTTTCAGTCACCTCTTATGCATGTGAAAGCTGGATGGTGAATAAGGAAGACCAAAGAAGCATTGATGCTTTCGAGTTGTGGTGCTGGTAAAGAATGCTGAATACAGCATGGACCACCAGAAGAGAAGAATGAACAAGTCTATCCTGGAAGAAGTGTAGCCAGAATGTTCCTTGGAAGCAAGAATGGCCAGACTTCGTCTCACCTACTTTGGTCGTGTCAGAAGGAACCATTCTCTGGAGAAGGATATTATGCTTGGTAAGGTGGAGGGTCAGCAAAAAAGGGGAAGGCCCTCAACGAGATGGACTGACACAGTGGCTGCAGCGACGGGCTCGGGTATAGCAAGGATTGTGCGGCTGGTGCAGGACCAGGCAGTGTTTCGTTCTATTTTACGTGGGGTTGCTATGAGTTGGAGCTGATGCAATGGCACCTAACAACAAGACAACAAATAGTGTTGAAAAAAGTATTTGCAAGGAATAAGTCATTGGTCTTATCAAATTCTACCTGGATTTTGCTCCTGTTAGAGCTCACCCTATCACTGATGGTGCCGAGAAGAAGCTAGTCCCACAGAGCTGGCAAACAATTCTTGAGGAGTCCTGGTGGTACAGGGGTTAAGTGCTCAGCTGCTCACCTAGAAGTGGGAGTTCAAACCCAGTAGCCACTGCACAGGAGAAAGATGTGGCAGTCTGATTCCATGAAGACTGACAGCCTTGGAGACCCTGTGGACAGTTCCACTCTGTCCTCCAGGGGCGCTGTGGGTCAGAATGGACTCCAGGCAGTGGGTGTGGTTTGGGCTTTGCTTCTGTGAAGACTGACAGCCTT